AGGTTGACGGTGGGGGCATTGGGCTCAGGCTTGGGGGTGGAGAGGATACGGTCCTGAACGTGACTTGGATGCAATATTTAAAAGCGGCACAACGTCAATACTCCACTCTCTCTCGCTCTCCTCTTTTACCTTTTGGCCACAGTCTCTCTTTTTCTAACTTTCCCTCCCTCGTCCTCTGCTCTTCTCTCTCTCTCTCTTTCTCTCTCTCAATCTTTCCCTTGAGTTCGTCTTCGACGACATCTCGCGCGATCCCCTCGCGATCGGTTACAGAAAGAGGGAATCCTGAAATCGGCCGCTCGGCCTGACCTTAACCCGACGTCATCCCCTAGCTACTCGGACGGACCTTCGCCCCGTCACGAAGGGAGCTTAATGTTTCCTGAAATTCGTTACTTCGCCCTTCGCGCGCCGGCCGGTGGCCGTCTACTGAAATTTCTCCGTTTAACTTTCGGACCCCGGCCGTTCCTCGGAAATCTCATTGGCCGGCCCCCCGTTCGAGAGGAAATCGAACGCGGCGACGGCGCGGCGGCGGGGGTGGCAGGTAACGCCGAACGGGCCGGGAAACGTGAAATAAGGATGCTGCGATCCGATTCGTTGCACGAATAATTCAACCCGTCGCGAGGCTGAAATTTTCGATCACCGACGACGAGAGTTATTGCCGCAGTCCTCTTTGCTAATATTGCCTCTTCGGGGATACTTTATCAGTTTCTGACGTATCTCGGCAATTTATTTCTAATGTCTTCTCTCTGCGGCGGTAGTTTCGGGGGTGGTTCGCGTCCGCCCTACTCTCGCGAACATGGAAACGGGGACGGGAGAGTAGAGGAGAACGAGGGAACGGTCGGCGATATAAAAGGCCGAGGAAAATGCAGGAAGTTATGACAATTATGACGGGGAGGAAGAAGCGTCTAGCTGTGCGACGGCTCGTGAAATGAAATCGGGACGAGGGGCGATCATTTATAAGTTCGACAGACGGAATTCCTTTTTTTCCCGTTAGCCTCTCGTTCGCGTTTGTTACCCGTGTTTCCTCTATCACTGGGGCACGCACCATCGGTAAATGGACTTCCTATAATCCAATTAAGACATCGATCGAGAGGAAACGGAGCGAAATACGGTCCTGGGCCGACATTCGATTTTTGGGAACGCTATTAGCAGAAACAGAAATCTTGGGGCTGATTCGATTAAATCCACGAACCGTTTTCCTTTAGCCGGCAGCTATCCCTTTGTCGTTCGATCACACGTGATCTCACGTGCCACGACGCGCCTGGTCCACGGGGAAATTTTCAAACGGCGTATGCGGGTCACGAAGAAGAAGATCCTCGTGCTGTACATCTGGGTACTGTGTTCTAATTAAGAGGAAACTATAAAGTTTACCAGCCCTTTCCACGGTGCATTCCTCGTGCTACCTTCGAGTTCACTAATTTGAAGGTGCCAACTCGGAAAAAAATATTGCGCTTCGTTGTGCGAGGTATTTCGTAACGTTTCGCGTAGAACCAAGAGAAAATCTAATATTATAGTTCATCCCTTGTTAGAACAAACTTAAAGTCGAATTTTTTGTAGCGTGCCGTTGTATGAAAACTTATCAACGTGTACGTTCGTGTTTTATAATTTTGTAATTTATTACATACACGTGTATCTAATAAGGTTTCGAAGTTGACTTTCTTGGCGATAATGTTTTGCATTAAAAAGTTGTATTTCACATTTTCGGCTGTTGGCTTCGTGCAGAATCAACCCTTCCTAAATAGTTTCAATCTTTTGCGCGGTGTTTTTAACTTCTGAAATATCAGTGCACCAATTTCTTGGTACTGTTTAACTTCGCCTCCGGTAAGAATAGAAAGCACTCCTTTGTGCCAAGTTTCTCGTATCCTCTATTGAAAATACGCGGCGTTGTGGCAATGTTAATTGGGTTTTCGACACCGTAATTGCTGAAGTTTCTGTCGAGCAAGGCTCGTATAGAACATTGCCGAGTACCGACGAATCGTGGACAAGCAAAGTTTCATACCAGATTTGCATCGAGGATTTTCTTTCAAGATGTTTACTCGCTGTTCCCCGGCTGCTGCGAAATGAGGTTGTCTTGTCGCTGATGTCGTTCCCGCATTAACAGTAACGAGTCGTTTGTTAATCTGTTTCACCAAGTCGCTATGAAATTATATTCGCATTAATTCTGTTGAATATATTTCACTGGATATACAGAATGCTGAGCTTTTGGTTGTTAATTAAAAACATCATATTAACCTCTTGGCTCGTATCATTGAAACAAATCTTTGAAAACATTAAACGGAATTTAATAAATTACGTTAAGTCGAAATGAAAGTTTACTCTTATGTTGTCCAGCTTCAATTCACAAAACATAGAATTATCTTTCTTTTAATATACTAATCACGGTAAGGTTTCAATGATCGTAGCTAAAAGTGATTGT